ATTGCCCTTTGATTCATCAAATAATTGATCCAATTGTGAAAAATATGATGAAAAAATGAATAAAAATTGAGACCATTTTTAACTCTTGTTTCCTAACAAAATAAAATCACATCAATAGATTTTTACCTCCAAAACCTTACAACGCTATTGTTTATTCAGTTACTATGTTTATTCTGCTTTTGAAATAACCGCGCGTTTACAATTATAATATGCATGAGAATGTGATAACGAATCAAAAAATCAACAGCCCCGAATATGATAAAATACACGAGCGAATGACATGGTCACGTTTGCTTGATAGATTAGTTTGCAATGATTACACTCACATAGAAGCAAATTTGCAATTGTTGCCTTTGCTGTTGATGAAATGTAGAAATCATTATTGGAATTAGCAATTGTGAGTTATTTGCATTAAAATATCTCTCCTGTTTGGTATCACTAACATTACTACATTGAATACATTCATTTATAGCAATCGTAAAACAAATGCGATATCTGAAAATGAGAAATGCTGATTTGACATTTTACCTACACAAGAACAGCTAAACCACATTTATGTGACTGATTCAAACGTACTCAATGTTAATACATTTCAGCTAAATTCAATGTAAATGAAAGTATGCGTAACCGTAGCGCTAGTTGATGCGTCGTCAAGCGTCGACCGCGTTTCAGTCAGATTTCAACGTATTTTGAAAGTTAAATTCACTTTAAAACTCCAATCTGTACAATCTCAGCAACCCCGAATACATAACAACATCCGAAAATGTGTCAATTTTACGTTCAATCATCAAAGTGACATGAAATGTTGAACTTTTTTCTTTCAAAATATTATGAAATTCCATCGTATTCTAAGTTGCCGGTATGCTTGCGGCATGTAATTCTATTTCTTTAAATAGTTCCCCCACTGATATTTGATTTCAGTTGCGGCACGTACGTTCAATAAGTCAAACTGTTTTTATCTTCCTCATTAAAATTGAAAAAATGAAACTGTTGCAAGTGTTGTTGGCATTGTGTGTGATTTATCAAAATGTGTGCAGTTACAAATTTTTGGCAGTGCTTCCAACGACATCGAGATCTCATTATTACATCGGTCACAATTTGATGAAAGCTCTTGCTGAAGACGGTAATGAAGTGACCGTGATCAGCCCGTTCAAACAAAATAAACCCATAAACAACTACAAAGAAGTGTTTCTTGAGCATTCCTGGGAATTGTCTCGTAAAAGTAAAGGACATTTTAAAAAAAAAATTTCGTAGTTATTTCCATTGATAATATCCCATTTCGTTTTTTTTTTTGTAGCCATGGCAAAAAATAATTTTGTCGATTTAAGTGGTGTTCATTTTTGGGAATTCATATTTATGAGCTATAGCACTGGTATGAATATGACGAATTGGACGGTATCGAGTAAAAATTTCCAAGATTTCATAAAAATCAAACAACATTTTGATGCTGTAATTGTTGAAGTTTTACTTAATGATGCCTTACTTGCACTTGGAAACTATTATAATGCACCTGTCATTGGGCTCAGTGCATTCGGTGCGTCCAAGTTCACAACCGATTTAGTTGGTACACCAAATTTTGCATCTTACATACCATTCACAATTAACCATTACACCGATCGAATGAACTTCTGGCAACGAATGTACAATTCATTGGCGTATTGGTTTGAAGACATCACGTTGCCGTATTATTATACACCAAAGCAGCAAGAATTAATGGAAAAAGTTTTTCCCGACGCTAAAAACTGGCCATCTTTGGAAGAAATCAGACGAAATGTGTCTTTGGTCTTATTGAATACGCATACAACAATCGGTACACCACGGCCGTACGCTTCGAATATGATTGAAGTCGGTGGCATGCAGATCCAAAAGGAAATTTCTCCGTTGCCGGAAAAAATTCAAACATTTCTGGACGAAGCAAAAGATGGAGCCATTTTTGTTTCACTCGGTTCACAATTGCTCTTACACAAGCTTCCAAAAAATAAATTTGATTCAATTGTTAATGCCTTCAAAGCATATCCAAACTATCGAATTCTGATAAAAAACGATGAACCCATCACTATACCATCGCACAAAAATGACAATGTATACGTTGAACCATGGTTTGATCAGCAGTCAATTTTGGCGCACAAAAACATCAAATTGTTTGTCAGTCATGGCGGTCTTTTGAGTACAACTGGTATAAAAATGATGACCATTTAAAATAGCTTGTAACAGAATTATTTAGAGATCATTTCTTTTAGAAACTGTACATTTTGGCAAACCTGTGGTGGGAATTCCATTCATGTTCGATCAACATCTTAAGTACGCACCTTAGAGTACGAATTAACAAAATGATTTTGATTATTATTCATAGTAATATCTTAACGAAATTTAATTTAATCATATTCAAGTATGTATTTGGCTGAACAAAAGGGCTACGGTGTCAACGTGCCATATGAACATTTAACTGAAGAGAGATTAGCATCAGCTGTTAAGAGAGTTCTTGGAGATCCCAGGTAGATAATCGTGGTCATTGAACTAATTTTCGAAATGTTCATGAGTTTTTATATGTTTTTTTTTCAGCTATGCGGAAAATGCAAAATTAATATCGGATAGATTTCGCGATCAACCACTAACTCCGCTGGAATTAGGAATGCATTGGGTTAAACATGTGGCCAAAAATAAAGGCGCTCCACATTTGAGAAGCGTCGCTGTGGAATTACCATTTTATAAACTGTACAACTTGGATGTTTGGGTGTTCATTTTTGCTATTCTGGCGTTCGCAGCATTTTCGTTGATAAAAATTCTTCAAATAATTGTTTCACTTGTTTTACCGTCAAAGACGAAACAAAAATCTAAAAAAGCGTAGTCGAACTTTCCTGTAGAAATTATTTCATGAACTTGAACATGCGGTTACAATGAATTGCCAAACAAATTAGATGCCAAAAATAAAATATATTCCACGTATTCAATCCACGTGCTGATGATGTAACGAAAAAATGTTTGAAGTCTACTTGACGTGTATTGAGTAGAATTTGCTGTCACCGAATACAAATGTAATTGAATCTAGAATAAAAAATCTTGGAAAACATTTTTCTCTCTCTATTATGGCTTTATTATCGCATCGTTGTTGCTTAGTAGCAGCGTTTTCCATCTTCCGGAATGCATTTCACTTGAGTTTGGTTCGTATTGTTTCATAATTTGTTATTTATTGTACTCTGAAATGAAGCTCAAATTATTGAAGTAATCATATTTTCGACAGCGAGTTCTTGGATCGACAGCGAGTGTATTAAATGAAGCTTCAGCTAATCTCCAGCAATCTGTTTGCAATTATTTTATTAATTGAAAAAAGTAAACATTTGAGACAAGTGTCGATAAGAGTTTGTGAGATGTTTTTCATGGCATGATAGTTGACTATCGATTCCGTTGTAGCGACTCGTATTTGATATGGTCATTGTTATATGGAAAAAGCCTCCTTTCTTTGAAGGTAAAATTGTGCTGTTGTGCCTTATTGTTTTTCAATGTTTTTTTATTTTCTCTGGATTTGAAGGATTTCGGACAAAGGAAGTAAATTGAATGACTTCGTCATTGAAGCGTTGAAACTAATGGTTTTGAACGTTTGATACACACTGACTGGACAACTAATACAGCAATGCATTCTTTTGGCAAGACAAAAAAACATATCTATCGTTCAAATCCATAAAATTATCTTTTGCCCATACTGTCCAAAACATAGAATCAAAAATTATGTTAAAGATATTGAAAAAAGAATGGAAAATGTTGAGGATGGTTACTTTTTCGCGACTTATCCCAAGCATTTTTCAATAGAATTTCAGCGAAATTTGGAATTGTCTGGAGATTTATCATCATCGTTGTTGCGTTGAGTGTGTTTATCATGATTTAAACTATCAAGTCTTTAATCTTATTGGTGTTTCCGGCGAAAAAAAACAAACAACCCCGAAAATCGTTCATTGCATTTAATCTTTGAACAGCTTGGTCTTTGATTGATGTCTTCGAATGGGGCTCGGGATACACGTAAGTACAGTTGAACAATTCAAAATATTTTAGATTTAAATATTTGTTCATTTTTATGCTGTGTATTGCTTCAATTTCAGAGAGAAATTCGGGCTGTATTACGTCAATATGTCATCTCCACGTCGAGAACGAATCCCCAAGAAGTCGACACAATTTTTGACGGCATCATTGACGACATCACGCCGCATTCCAAAAGTCTACTGATTGCACTTTTGTTTGTTGTTGTCAAATATATGATAACGAAATGAATTTAAATTGGGACCATTTGAAATAATCTTATTTGTTGGTTACTTTAATCGATTTGATGTATCACGAATCAAACTCTTATCAGAATTTCTCGATTGAAATGTATGAATCGTTCGAAAATTAAACACAAAGATATTCCTCACTCGAAAAGATTAATTCATAGAATTGTTCCGCTAATAATGAAAAGAACTTGGTTAGATTAAAACTAAACCTAAATTAAATTGACACATTTCAAACACAAGTGTTTTTTATTTACAAATTCGAAGGCAGTTCGTTCTGTTGCCAGCTGATAAAACGTCATTTCTAACGAAAGATGTAAAAAAAATTTCTACTTTGTCTAAAAACACTGTATATGCACTTTGTAATCTAAAAACTATTATTGGATTTTCCCACTATTATCATTATGTTCCACTTGATTTTATTTGATCACGTTAATGAAGACGTGCATTAATTATTGGTTGTCTGAAAGCATTGCATAATTTATTATCGTTCAAAATCAGGTTTCATCAACAGTTTGTCATCAGCTGTCAACGAGAATAGACGTAGAAAGTAAATATGTTCTTGCGTCGATTATTTTCTATTTTCTCGATCTTTATGTAAGTTGTTAGATCAAGTTGATTTTTGAAATAAATTTACTAGTATTCTTATCACTATAGAGTAGGAGCATCAGCTGTAAATTCATCAACAAATGATTCCAATCTAGTTATTTCCGGAAGGGTTTCTATTTGGTGCCGCAACAGCTGCCTATCGAATCGAAGGAGGTTGGAATTCGGATGGCAAAGGACTAAGTACTTGGGATAAATTCCTACATTTGCATCCGGACAAAATAGATGACCATCAGAATGGAGACGTTGCCGCCAATTCTTATGAGTATTACTTAGACGATATTGAAGCAGCAAAAAGTTGAAATGTAAAAAATTTAAAATATTTGTGAATTCTCTAGCTCTCAATGGTTGTATGTTTTAGTTGGATTTCTATCGTTTTTCCATTGCGTGGTCTCGTGTGTTGCCAACTGGTGATATAACACAAGTGAATGAAAAAGGCATCGAATACTACAACAAATTGATCAATAAA